AAACAGGAACATTTTATTAGCAGAAATGCATGTAACTTTTTTTTCTAATGTGGTTAACAAGATTAGAATTTATTGCATGTCCTCAAGTAACATATTCTGTTATGTGATTCAAATCGTGAAATGCATTAATCAGCAAATTAATCATGCCTAATTAATTGAGAGCTCAGCTGCTCCAAAACCCTGCATACAGTGGGTCATGGAGACTAGCAATGGGATCAGTACTGTAGAACTTCAGGCTGAATTTCTATAGCACTGTACTATAACTTTTCAGCACTTACTGTATTTAGTCGATTATTTTTGCTTTGGACTACAAGGTCGCAATGTGATTAGGACTGTAGCCTGACTCCAGTTCACTAGTCACCTGTCAGAGGTGTGGCCATTCCCTGTGACCACGCCCACTTCCAGATGACGCTGATTTACAGTCAGCCACACCTGCAGTCAATGCGTTTGAGCTTATTCTCTCTCCTTGATAAGTCTTTGTCGGCTGGCTACTTGTGTGGTTTTTTTTTTTGGCTGATCTCTGGCTTTGTTTGGTTTTGTAATTTGGAATTGTTTAATCACCGCTGAATTTGCATTCATTTTGCATTCTGGCTCCGCTTGACATCTAGGTTCTAGTAAACCAATCCTTGTAAGCACTCCGAATTTACATGCTTGGTGAAAACCATTGTCAGTCAGCTCTTTTGTCCTCAGCTGCCTTCGTTGGGGTTCTCACAGTCAGCGGCCCAAACCGTGTCATCACTGAGTTCTCAGAGGCTCTGAGACTGAGAGGCAGAAGACCCGGCCTCACGTGTGTTTCACACTGTGCCCTTTGACCTGGGACCATGTGCCCTGCCCGCAGTTAATACATTTTCTTTGATTTTCTTTTCCTTTTGACATGACAGTTGTGGGCTTCTTGGACCCACACTATCTATGTGTGTGGAGTTTGCATGCTCTCCCCCTTTCTTGAACGGGACTGTCTTCATGAATGACCTGATACTGGTCAAGGTCATTAAAGAAGACAGATTATTGTTTTTGGGGTAAAAATTACAAGTGCCTTGGGCTCAGCTCAAGTTCGCTCACACGCCGGTGTCCTTAATCGCTGCATTACCAGCTTAAAAGTGTAAGGTTCGATCTGAGATGATTTGGATGAATGTTACCTCTCAGTACAGCCGTAGGTCGGCATTAGATAGGCAGCTCTTCGTAAGCTCTTCGATAAAAGTCACTGAACATAACGGTCTCCCATCTAAGATTGTGTCTGCTGATATTTTCTCAGGAGGATAGTCAGACCACCATGACCGCATTCTGACCTCATTCACTGTTTCACTGTCCTGGTCACATGTGTGTTAAAAAGAAGATTCCAAGAAGGAGCAATGCAGTCTGGCTTTTTGGACCGGCTTAAGCATTGTGGCCACATTTCAGTCTTGCTCTGTCGCTCTCACATCCACTTATCTTTAGCTTGCACCTGAGACCCAGGGGAGGATCTGCAGTATAACGGCACTGCATCACTGGATGGTCATTCGCGTTTCTCGCTTATGCCACGTGAGCATGGAACAAGTCCAGTGGAAAATGAGGAAAGGCGAACAGCCCCTTGTTTTGTAGCTCTGAATCTGGAGTATCCCCAAGGGAAGGGGACACTGCCTTTCCTTCATCTCTGACGAATGATCTTTCCGCGCCTGGTGTCCTGAGGGACCGTGTCTCACGCAGACGGAGGGAAATGTCATCTAGCAGAGATGTTCATCCTGTTTTTAATACGAAGGTCTGCTGGGAATTTGCAACAGATAGGCCACGTTCTGCTAATGCGGTAAGAATATATGTGCATCGTTCCCAGTTTTTCCTGCTTGATTTTATGCATCGTGACCTTCGACTGGAATGAAGTGTCTACAAAAAGCATCTGCTAGACATCAAAACAATTTCAAATTATCGTCAAGTTCTTCGGCGTAATGAAGCATCCAGACTCTTAGCGCACCCAACTGAACCGAGACCCATAACAAGAGCGGCGGAATGAAGGAATTTCATCATTGTCAAATCCTTTCTCGGGGACTTCAGTATGATGTCAGGCAAACACATTATGCATTAAGAATATTGTGAACAGTGTGATTTCTGGAGTTGATATTCTGAGCAAAAGCCAACACATGACATGGAAAATTAACACGAGGATTTGTAAGTATGGTTTTTGGCTCTTTGTGCATTTTAACCCTGTAGTATTCCGGAGATTTGCTATTCCAGGGTATTCCGTAGTCCTTACTGTAAGGGTTCCCGGCCAACTTGGATGCATCAGAAGCTATCTGGACCTTTGCCCTTTGGTTTGCATTCAGCTGGATGATCCACACGTGAGTCATGAGTCCAGTTTGAGCAGGGCTAGGATTTCAGACTACACAATTTTCTTTTTTTTTTGTCACTGTGGCTGACATTAGTCACTAAACACTTGTGGCTTCCCGCTGAGCGCAGAGAAACAAACCGCTGTTGATCTTTAAGCTGAACACACTGGCAGTCCCTTTATAACTGGATGTTCTTTCCACCAAATAAAAACTATACCTGACCAATAATTGCTAATTTTACACTCCATGTACTCATCCAGCTCAGTTCAGTTTTCAGGCACCAGACCCGTGATTATGCAGCATTTTCAAGGAGTCAGCGTTATTTGTAGAGCTGTCAGATCTTCTATGAAATGTTTTAATTGAAGTATTTTTGTCGTTAAGGACAGCCACCGCATGGCCTGTCCTGCGCATTTACACCAAGCTGGCTGTGAATAGGATGGCATTCTTCAGGCAGTTTATTACTAAACCCACTGAAGTTAGGCAAGCTGGTCTTATTCATGTACCGTGACAGATTTAATAAATGTGCGGAATGTTTTTGTCATAATTACTAGTATTGCTTCAACCCATGGCTTCTATGTTATGCCATGGAAGACACAGTAAGAAGATATATATATATATTTTTTTTTTTTTTTCTCTGCATGACACTCAGATTAATTGTGGGTCTTCGTAGGAAAAGACGGCAGAAGGGATGAGCTATCGTTCCCGGCAGGGGTGCCCAAAATGGCGACCATTTTTCGATTGCTGCATCATCAAAACAAGAATGAGTTGACACCTGACATCCCCACGCTGACTCCAGCTGTCATGAGAAATGACTTTGCTTTCTCAAAGGTTGTCACTTCGAGTCACGGTGAGTTTTTTTTCCCCTATTTTATACACACCTGTAAAATATGCAAAAATGCAACTGCCTCTATAATTATGAGATATAGCGATGCTTCATGCTGTTTCTATCACTGTCTCTGGTTTGCTTGGGTTTGTTTGTAACACCAGAATAATTTCCCCTTTTGAGGGTGTGACGTAAATCTCAGAGGCCCCAGCGCGAAAGTGCACCCCGATACACGCTCAAAGAAGGGCTGTAGGTTTAGGAGGCCAAAGACAAGATCTCGAGTTCATAGAAACCGGCGGCAGATGAAACTCCCAACATCCACAGACTGGATCAGATTCGCAACATAAAAAAACCCCGAGAACACAAGACAGAAATGTCGCTAACACAGCAAGTGCGAGTCTTTAATAAAATGCCAAGTATAAAATGTCATGCTCTTCTTCATAGCTCTGGCACACTTAAACCCCCGGGCTACGTCCCAAAACCCTTATTTGCGCCCTCCTCCCTCACTGACTTTCCTTCGCCCCAGAAGTTTTTCCATATTCCATATGTTGAAGTGCTGTCTCAATACCTTAGGGATCGCGTCATCAAGGGCCGACTTTTGCTCAAATCACTCCGCCAGGGGCCTGTGGAAGTCTAGCGAGAGTTCCCTTTGCGGAAGAGAAATTTACCTTTGGTGACGCCCATCCATAACGCAGCATGAAAGCTTCTTCGTCTGTGATGACTTACATACATACCGACAGACCATGGTAAGTCATCAAGGGTGCAGGTGTGTCCCGATACCACTTTGTATTCGCTACCTTCCTCGCTCAATCACTCATTTCTTCCCTTGACAGCGAGTTATCGAGGGAGGGGGCCGTTAGAAAAACAGTTCTGGGATGTGGCCCTAGTTCTTAAGCTGGCCTGTATGGGTGTACAGTGATTGAGGGTAATATACCATCAGAGGGTGCAAATAAAAGAAGATCAGCACCGTGTGACAGACAACTAAAACCTCCCAGACATCAAAACAGATAGAAAGCCAGTTCTGAGTAAGAGAGAGTCTGATTTCCTTTCCATTCTCCTTAACTCCCTCTTACATTTACCTGGACGCAGATTCAATATGTTGGAGCCAGAGTAAATATCAGAATTTATAGATTTATATATACTGGCTTTCACGAGACACGATAAGCTATAACCTTACAGAACGATGATAGAGTGAGATATTCTGCATTCCTCGGCAGACCTGTATTCCTGGATCTGAAATGAGTAGAACTGACTGAAGTTATAAACTCTGTGCGTGCCCTTGCTTGTGAATGTCACCTCAGTTTATTTCAGCTTTATGTGATTTCTCGATGTCGTTTTTTTTGCCTATCTAGCGATAGGTAGCACATTCGAACTATTAATAATATATTTAATTAAGGCACTGTCGGACTATGCTTGCACTGTTGCACTATGTTTACATATATGTTTATAAATCATTCTTTAAAATGACGTGCACGTGCTGCCAGACTGCTCCGGTCAACCATCCAGAAGACCAGACGAAAATACAGAGACATATTATAGACAGTCTATTCGGAAAACATCCCCTGCGTGACCACTCACGGTAGCCATTAAAAGAAAAAAGTCTTTCATCTGCGTGTCGGTGGCAGCGTGCTGAGAACCCTCCAGAAAGAATAAAGAGCACTTTCATCGCACATTAGCATCCCGGCTGCAGAGAAGAATCAGACAAACTCCCTTGTGAACAAACACATTCAGGACATCAGAGAGGTTATTTTAAGGAAATGCTGGCAGCGCTGGAACTAGCTTGCTTGGCCTTTGGGTGGGAAATGAATCAGTGATAGCAGACTGAGGAATTCGTGGGGCGGCCGGTCCCTCATCAGCTTCCAGCGTCGTTCTTCTTCAGTCCGCCGTTATCTTCTCCACGCCAGGCCGCCTCCTCGATAGCATCTCCGTAGGAACTTTTCTGCTGCCGTTCTTCTCTCTTCCCTTTATTGTCAGAAAAAAAACAACAACAAACGAGCACGTTAGCGCGATTAAGTGGAAGCGGGCTGGTGAGATGAAGAGGAGGGAGAAAATGAGGGAAGCGAGGGAGAGACAAATCGGAGGAAAGGGGTAGTAAGTCAAGAACTGACAGGAGGGTCGCTGATTTCAAAAGATGGAGTGCTTGGATGAAGCTTTCAAGCTTAGAACCATCCAGTCAATAGCAGAAACCTCAGCTTGGCGTGGAATCCAGGCAAGCCTAGTGGCTGATGGGATATCTCTGATTTACCTTGTCCTGGTCTCAAAAACTGTCCTCTGGTAGCATTCCATAAACACACAAAAATCTAGAAAAGAATCGGAACAGAAACTCTGAGAAACTTCCTAAATCTTTTAAGAAGGACAAAGAAACTATTCTGGCAAAGGAACAACATTCTCAGTATCCTGTAAGTTGCTTTCAGAAGTCTAAACGTGTCAACCTCTCCTGGATTAGTAGTTTTTGTTCGTCAGCCATCTGACAGCGATCCGCATGCTAATTCTTCTCGGTTGCTAAAATTGGGCTTCAGTCCGGAGGATTGGTAAGCGGAATCGACCAGATTGCACGAGACGGGCTGGATTTAGTTGGACATAACACGGCTAAACTATGCCAACTGTGACTCTTTGTCTGTGTTCATCGTTTGTATGTTTCGCTCTACATCTCTCTTCAGGAACAGGCCTTAAGTGAGAAATGTGTATGATTGTGATATGATTTATCATTGCTGTCAGAATACACTCGACACTCCTCAGTCTTGCACCATACTCAGGACACCATTTTTTTATGTCATCTTATTTCTTACATTCTACTGTAATAATCTAACTACTATTGCTAAGTGTGATACGTGCAGTAGGACAGCCTGCTGCCTCATTTCGTTGGCCATGTGCACAATGACAATAAAGTTGACTTTGAATTTGAGGGGTCTGTCCTTTTTATTGCATTATTCCAGTGTGGAGGGCCCTTTAAGACGACAAGGCCGGCTACGCCGTAGTGTAAATATACCGTAATGAAGGCCAGCTGACAGAGAGAGGCTGCAGGTTGCCAGGTTTGCCAACACACTTGGCAAACCAGCCTGTCTCCAAGCATGTCGCGTCTTCCACGTTCGACCCCTCCGCTGCGCAGAGTTATGTCGCCTTCCACTGAGAGGACTTGGCAAGAGCGGCAGCGAGACGTGGCCGACTGAAACAGCGCCCAGCTCCACCCCCGACAAAAAACAGCCATAATTTATGCACACATTATGGACGTCCCTAGTAACTGATGCTTTTTCATAACTCAAATTCTTCTAACATGGTCATGTGGCTCTTTCTCCTTGTTATAGTAGCACAGCAATGTTAATATGATTATAATTAAACTCTATTCCCCACCTGCTCAAATGCACAAGGATCCTTGTATTCTGAAATATGCCATTTTACTCCTCTGAGTCAAACATGGCTCAGAGAAACGTGGGGTCGGAGCACATGGTCGGCCATTTATCTGGCACCCTGGAGTCGTTTTTGGAGTCGACTCTACAGGGCCTCACCCAAAGGCCCAACGATGATATTATCGGGATTTGAACAGACAACCTTCCAATCACGTAGCCCTAACCCACAGAACCACAAACAGGTGTCTTCCTGGGCAGTAATCATTCTTAGACAAAATAAAATAAAGCTCGATAAGGTATTATTATGCTGATAAATCACATTTAATAGTCAAGCTACTATGATAAATGAGTTTATAAATATTAACCAATTTAAATTAAACTTCCATATAAAATATCATTACTTTAAAAAGAAATTGTAATACTTAATTTTACAACGTCTATAGTAATATGGGGTGCATGGTTTAGCGTTGGCTGCTGTATGAATCCTGCTTAGAGGGAGATTACAGAAGCTTTAAACCTTAACAGCACTGGGGTCAGAATAAAGTCTCTTTTGTTTACGGAATAAATGACACGTCATGGTGGCTGGAGCAAAACCAGGCGATTCGCAGTGCGATCCGCTATTACTGGTCCGACAGCTGCCAGCGACCCCCCTTGTGATCTGACAGTGGTGCAGTGGCTGAATGGCACTTCAAAAGGTCTCTGGAATTAAGCAATGCTGGGCCCGGCTTACTAACCGTCATTAACTGGAAGGCAGGCTTTCAGGGGTGTGCGCTCACGGGGCTGTCCACTGTCGTTTGTCCCGCAGGGGGTTATCAAGGAAGGAGGACGGGCCAAAGCAGGCCACTGGTTGGAGATTGACCAATCACCTCTGGGCAAAAGGAGCATGGTGTTTCTGATTGGCTCTCTGAGTGAATGACGCTGTCGAGGGACGACGTTGTTTTTCTTGGGGGATGTATTCCTGCCATGATGCCATCCCAGCGTCCCGATTCGGTTTCACACCTGCAGCTCTGTTAGGAATACGATAAAAAAAAATGTATAAATAGAATTTGTATGACCAGCTACATTGATTAGGTGCATCAGTGGGTAGCTGGAATTTCTTGAACAGCAATAAGTGATGCAGACTGCAGCATAGTCCAAAATTTGGGTATTTCTCATTTAACGACATTGTTAAAATACACACCTGAAACAGAATGCTTTTTTGGCGATAGCATAATTAACTGCAAACTGATTTAAATTCCCTTAAAATCCTCCCAACAAGCTGAAAAATGATGAGCAATTTAGGTCTCATCTAATGCACGTTTCGCATGAAATAAATTAAGAAGGTAAAAAGTACCTTTGTTCCCCCCCCAACTCAAACACCCACGCCTGGTTTTCATTCATTTTGGTGGACTGTAACGCGGTGCGCTACTTATCAAAACTTCATTATTCAGGTGGGTAAATGACAAGCAAATCACCAACATTTAATAAACACGCGTTTTATTATAAACAGCAGGAGTCCATCTCCACCATTGTGCAGCTGAGCGCCATAAATAAACAAATAAATAACAGAATCCGGCAATTGTATTGAAAATCATCATATTTATTGTACATAGTTGTTTTATATTAAAGCACGTCAGACCTTCCCAGAGGAGTATAAATGGGCATTGTCTAAATAAATGAAGGCCTTGCTGGCAATGAAAACATTTATTTGTGTAGCATTTCGCACAATGCATTCATTTAATAATTTCTCTGCCTATAATGGATATTTTAACAATGGAGACACGTGGGTTATTTGTTTATTTATTTACTTGCTGCTGATGTTAATTCTGGGTGGCAGGGGGGCTCGGTGGGTATGACAGCTGGCTCATAGGATTTGGGGTTTGGATCCTATATTTGACGTGTGTGTGTGGAGCTTGCATGTTCTTCCCGTGTCACGCTGGTGTCCTCCTGTGGTCCTGAGTCATGCAGATGTGTGCATTGCTGTCCCTGTCATAGTGCCCCCCCCCATACAATCTGTATGTGCCTTCTGATGGATTGGCCAGGCTGTACCCCCGCTTAGTGACCTGTGCTGACTGTGATATGGTCCAGGCCCCACCACTGTGACCAGGATGACCAGTCAGAAGATCAATGGGTGATGTCTCCAAAGCACAGATGCCATGAGATATTCTCAGCCGGCTCCAGTGGTCTGTCCCAGCTAAGCTTCATTCCAGCCCCAGTTGGTAGGACAGAGGAAAAGGTTGATTCAAAGTTATGCCACATGTGGAGTAAAGATAGCAGTTGAAAAAGCATATAAAACATCAGTCTACATAAAGTAGTAAAATTATTAGGCAACCTCATATATTTCATATTGCTTTGTCACCCTTTGTGATTTTTGAAAGGCTGGGAATCCTGAATTTACTTGTGATTTTCATAAAAGCATTTCATGCAAAAAATATGCCACCGCCCCCCCCCCCCCCTTGTAATTGCTGTCTGGACTTTGAAAAGTAATAGATGCAGGGGGAAAATTGAAGTACATAACACGTACATGGATGGGTTTTTTTTTGTGTGATTTTGAATAAATCCAATTTGCAATGTAATAGATTTATACCTCTTGAAACTGCACCCCGTGGCCCTTCTGTGGCCCTCTTCTGCACCAGGAAGATGCAGGTGCTGTGCGCTGAGAACGCAGACACCAAATCCCTTTACCAGCCGACGACAGGGACTCACATTTCCATGTTCTGTTATCACGTCGAAGAAGCACTTCTAGAGAATTCAGTGTCCTTCTGCCCTAGCTGGGGTCGAGGGAAAGACTTCCAGCTAGCATATCCGGTCAACAAGGGCGCCGCTGGAAATTCTGTGCCCCATGAAGGCATATCACTCAGACCAATCTATGTTACAAAATTTTTAAGGTTTCTGTCACTTCGGGGCCCTGGAAATCATCCTGACTTTTCCCCTTCTTCGTAGTATCTCTGGCAGTCAAGTGCAGCTCCTCTGTGCTGTCAGCAGTAATCTGTGTTGTTTCATATTCTGCTCTTGTGCTTAGAATCAAATGAGAGCAGTAATCTTGTTCCACTCCTGGCCACTTCAGTGCGTGTACTTGACCTCTCTGTTTACAGCAGGCACTGGTTCTGTCTTGATGGTCTCAAAATCATCACTCCTCCCAGTACAATTTATGCTCTAAATCTGAGACAGTCGGTGTCTCTTTATTATTGATTAATGATATTAAGTAAACACATTACATAGTAAAATAACTGCGTTTCCATCCATCACAGCCCATAATAACACAAAACAGCATTTAAGCCAATCCACCGTGGGACAGAAACCGTTTGAACATTAATGAGCCAGCTGTCACTCAGGGGGTGTTTTGACTACTGAGTTCTTCTATTTGGCTTTGTAGACGCCCCTGAATTTTCACGTGTCTGGCAGCGTAGGTGCCCTTCGGAGTGCCATGTCGGCCCGACTGTCACATGAAAGGGCGTCTGCGATGGGGCGTGAGCGGGAAAGTCGCCTCGGGTGTTCCGCCTGCAGGGCCTCTCTGCCTCGACCTCATTAGCGGCCCTTACCGCTCAGATGCTCGCCGTACATTTTAGCTAGTCTTCCTGGACACAACAGTAACTGGTCGCTTTCAGAACTGGTGTTAAAACAAGGCTGTGGAAGAACAGTGGTGGATGGTGGCAGAAACAATGAGAAAATAATACATTTTACAATTTTATAGTAGCCGATTTTTTCCAAAGAAGAGTTATTTCAAAAACGTAAAATTTTAAAATATGGGATATACTGTCTCCTCTAACTGTATAGACCAGCTGTCTCTGCCTGAAAGTTACTATATTCTGGCGATTCTTTAAATTACATTCATGTTTCATGGCTCCCTTCCCCAGAGTGTTTACAGTAATTAGCATGATCGTTAACTGTTTCATTTTAGGCTGCATGTAATTCCCAAGTTCCTCAGCAGTTCTGAAATTACTACACCCCATAATTCCCTGGGATGCGATGGGAAGTACAATCAAGAGTTTTAAAGTGTTGACTTTCTGTAATTTCCGACAAAGAAATTATCTTTTGCAATGCAAAAATAAAAAAAAAAAATTAAATCCTCGGATGTTCTCAGAGTGCTGAGGAGTTTATCCTGTTCCCTGGTAGGCAAATGCTCAGGGATACAATAGTGTAAAATTTTACCGTTGATGGTGGAAAAGAAAGGAGCAGTTTGTGCAAACTGCAGCAAGTGTCTGTACATAAATTACTGCCTTTATGCTGTGACAGCTGCTCGTCATCTTTCCATCCTTGCATTATAGACGGTGTACTCTAAATTGATGTCTTTTATCAACCTTCTAAGTATGTCGACATATTGTACAGTCAATTGGGAAAAATGGCTAGAAACATTTGCAAATAAAAGAAGAAAAAAAAAACATTGAATGGGGAACTATCTGGTTTTCTCATTCTCCTCATGTGACAGGCAGTGGGCTATTAAATAGCCTCCCCCATTGGGTTAACTTGCAATATTACCGTCGCTTTATCATATAACGACATCTGTCGTATACGAAAGCCACTAGCGACTGCTTGAAATACCGAGCTACCGGTTGACCGGCGAGAGAAACACGTCTTGTTGGTTTCTCATAAACAGCTTGTTTATATGCCAGCGTGAACCAGCATTCCCGCGGAATTATTTGCACTAAATAGAAACAATTTAATAATTATTCGAAATGAAACGCCCCCATACATGTTTCACAGTATCAAAGGGAGCGCCGTTACTACATGGATGCTCCCACAGTCAACAAGCAAATTTGCAATGATGAAAGGGCAGAGGAATTGCGTTGCTATGGAGGTGGGCCGCACATTTAACTCCCCCCCCCCCCCAGGGATCTTTATTCTTGTGGTTGGGGAGGAGATGCAATTATAGGGCAAGGAGTTGAAATGGGTGTTTTTGGGGCAGGGTGGGGGGGGATCATCACCCTCACTCTCGTACTTATCCTTCAACCGCCTACGTCTGAGGAGCTACGACAACAGGACGCATGCAGGATGTCACATGACCGTCAAACGGTCCTTGGCACCCCTTCCCCCCCCCCGAGGAATGCGAGTGAAGCCTGACATGTAAATATTTCCTTTGCGAGGCTTCCAGCGCGCAGGAGGGAGCCGTCAGAGCGTCAGTCGGCGCGTACGACGCCTGATGAGTGCAGCATCTCAGAGGGGGTACGCGGGGGGGGGGTACGCGGCTCGGTGAGAAGCAAACTGTGACATCCCACGCTTGAATTCCGCAGTCGCAGCCGCGTGGGTCTGGTAACCAGGCTCTGGAATATTCTAGAAGCCTAGGCCCTTACTTTGTCATTTATATGCGGAGAAGTAGATTAGAGCATGGGATTGGGTCACACTGCCTGAATCAGCAGCATCATATTAGCATAAACAACTAGACTTAGATTTTTTCTGTCTGCTGTATTTGGGAATTTTATTATTATGCTGCCAGGCATCCCTGTAAACATGCATGTACGAAATTACGCCTTAGCTTCTCCTTTTATTGTGAGACAGCCAGTTTCAGCCCACAGTCAACAACAATGTTCCTCCACTGTGCCTCACAAATAAACACACGTTTTTTTTGTTTTTTTTTTAATTGAATTACATTTCTGGTGCATTCAGTGATTAAAGAATGCATCTCCCGCTTTGCTGACTGATTTTGTGTGATTACGGTGCCTTTTCATCCAGAGCCGACCCATGGCCGCGGTCCACCGGGGCTCGCTGTCGGCAACATCAGGCTGGAGTGCCGGCGACGTTGCCGCGGTAACGCGGCCCATTACGAGGCCTGCCCTCAGAATCACGGCTGGGACTGTGTCCTTTTTCCTACAGCGTTTTGGGCCATGTGGGGAATTATGGGGATGTAAAAAGTGCAAGATGCTTATCCCAGACAGCAGAATGCGGCTGTATACTTCAACAAAGTAGTTCTTTGGAGATTCTTTCAGGAATAATTATCTGTAGAAATATTTAACCCCATGAGCAGGATAAGAAGTTAGAAGTATGATTGACAGATAAATATATAAAAAATATAATAAAGTGTATAAAGAAA